GCTACGTCACACTGAGGATCTTCCTCAGCATTGTTGCCGTCCTCAACCTCAACCTAATGCAGCTCGACATGAAGAACGCTTTTCTGAAGAGCAAGCTCGACAGGGTGCTCTACATGTCCCAGCCGGACTACTTCAACGACAAAACCGGCCGGGTCTGCAAGCTGCTGAAGAGCCTGTACGGCCTGAAGCAATCGCCGCTGCTGTGGTACTTGGCGCTCAACGACGTACTGGTCGGCGCCGGGTGGAAGAAGAGCCAGGTCGACGAGGCTCTGTACTTCAAGGTCAGCGACGACGGAGTGGCCTGCTGGGTGCTGGTCTATGTCGACGACCTGCTCGCCGCCAGGAGCAGCACCGAGATGCTGAAGGAGCTGAAGGGACTGCTGGAGTCCGCCTTCGAGCTGCGTGAGATCTCACCGGTGCAGAAGTACCTCGGGCTGGAGATCGTCCGCGATAGGTCGGCGGGGAAGCTGTGGCTGCACCAGCAGGGCTAAGCCGACAAGCTGCGTAGGCGCTTCGTTGACAAGGAGCAGACCAGGCGCACCCCGAAGATGCCGGTCTTGGTCGACGCCTACGCCGACCTCACCTTCGATGACGAGGAGGCACAGGAGCGATAGGAGCAGGAGTACCGGCAGAAGGTCGGCTCGTTGCAGCTCGCGGCGACGACGACGAGGCCGGACATCGCCTTCGCCTGCAGCAAGCTAGGGAGCGGCCTCACGGTGAGGAGCAACCAGCACTGACGCGAGCTCAACCGCTGTCTCGCCTACCTCGCCAACACGCGTGACACCGCCCTGGAGTTTGGCGGTGGACCTGAGTCGCTGGAGCTGGTCGGCTACGTGGATACCGACGACGCCGGTGACAAGCAGAACAGGACGAGCACGGGCGGCTACGTGTTCGTCTATGGAGGGGCCGCAGTCTCGTGGTCAAGCCAGCGCATCAAGTGCGCGACGATGTCGTCGACCGAGTCGGAGTACGTGGTGGCCACTAAAGCCGGCAAGGAGGGACGCCGACTTCGCTCCCTCCTTGCAGATTTCCGGTAGCTGGATGCTGGGAAGCCGACCGTCCTCCGGGTGGACAACAAGTCGGCCATCACCGCTGCCGAGGGCATGGGGTTGACGGGCAACCTCAAGCACATGGAGCGGCGTCAAGCCTGGCTGCAGCACATGGTGAAGCGTGGGAAGTTTTCACTGAAGTACATCCCGACCGCTCACCTGTCGGCCGACTTCTTGACGAAGGCCTTGCACTATCCGGCCTTCAACCGGTGCTCCGTTGCCATTGGCCAGGTGCGCTTGGTCGATGTGGGCGACGGGGACAACGACGTGCAGCAGTAGGTGCCATGCCCTCCTGCATGGCTGGTGCGGTGACCGGCGTGCTGTGTGTTGGGTGCACGCCGACGAGCTATTTTTCCGAGCAGTGATGCCGTGTGGGTTGGGGGCCCAAGCATGAACGCGGCAGGGGAGTGTCAATGGGAGTTGTTGTTGGCCCCGTCCTCGCTTGGGCGGAGCCGACTTTGTGGTTGGGTGTACGAGAGTTACAGCTGACTTGCAGCAGTGGGCGACGCCGACTTGGGCGAGCTGGTCGACGGGGTTGGTCGACTTGCACGGGGCCACTGCAATGCCGCCGACTTGGGAAGCCGGCGGCCGACTTCAACCGATGGTCGGCGATGTGGCACGTTGATCTGGAAGTCGGCACCGACTTGCAAGGTCGCCGACTTGGAAGGTCACCGATTTGCAAGGTCACCGACTTGGGAGGTCGCTGACTTCAAGAGGTCGGTCTGGAAGTCGGCGCCGACGTAGAAGGGGCGTCGACTTAATGGCGCCGACTTCGGGTAGCCGACCTGGGTGGTCAGCTGACAACTGCGCTGGTCGACGTGGCGCAGGTCGTCGACCTGCAGCGTTGGCACGCCGTCAACTTTGCACTGCTGGAACGCGGTCGACCAAGTCGTGCTGGAACGCGGTCGACCATGCTGCGCTGGCAATCGACCGACCTGAATGCTAGCTCTGAGGTAGTCTCGTCTCTCAGAATCCCAACCACTAGACCATTGGGATAAAAGGGCTTGTTTCAGTAGCGGGTCAGTGCGCCCATAACCCCCCAGGCAAACGTGCCTGTAACCCCCCTAGGATCGATCGGGGATCTCACAGTGCAGCTCTACTGACACCCCCCCACACTGGGAGGCCCAGGACTGAGCACAGTGGCAATGGCCTACGTATGCATACACCGAGATTCGAACCCGAGAACGCTCTGATACCATCTCAGAATCCCAACCACTAGACCATTGGGATAAAAGGGCTTGTTTCAGTAGCGGGTCAGTGCGCCCATAACCCCCCAGGCAAACGTGCCTGTAACCCCCCCTAGGATCGATCGGGGATCTCACAGTGCAGCTCTACTGACATCGTCTTGCCAACCTGATTGTACCATTGTTGTCAACTTTTTTAGTGAAACTCTTGCCAAATTGCCCCGTGAACTAGCAAGTAGTGTGAGCACTAGGAAAACGACCAAGGACCAACGAACGCAGAGATCACACGAGCACCCGTGCCTAGCCCGTAGTCTAGCTCCCGTTGTAGTAGTTATCTCCGCAAAGCCGAGTCTATGAACCAAAACAACGCCTTCCATTGGTCAAAGCTAAATCCCCTTGAACACTTCGATAATAAACAATCCAGGAGATAAACCGGCTGATTGATATACAGAAAATTGATTATGTATTAACATATTTTGAGGGTCGCCACGAATTGTCGGACGTCCAATCCCTTTTTGCTCGGATCAAACGCTTCCAAAAGCCTCGGCCGAGCTACTTTGAGGTTCGGCGAAGATGGTGCCATCGGTCCGCGAAATGTTGGTGTCGCCGCTGCTGCTGCTGCTGCTGCTGTCGCTATTGCGTTTGATGCTGCATTCACTGCTGCTGTGGCGGCTGCCGATTGGTTCGCGAGGAGTGCTTCGGTTCGCTGAAGCGCCACCCGCATCTAGTCCAGGTCAGACATCACGTGTCCGAAAACCGAAAAACGAGGTGGAGTAAAAAAACACGGAACCGGTTTAACGTACCTAAAATCGGTGTTTCACGGTCGTCGCCCCCGCGGTTTGTTTAAGACTGGATTTTTGTGGTCGAAAGAAAAACGCGTGTGAACCGGCTCTGATTACCAAGGGTGAGGGTCGAGGATCGACCTCAGAAAAGTGGGTTGTAAAATAATTGATTCACCTGGGTACAACACGAGGCTATATATAGTCGACACAAGGCAAGTAACCCAAGTGTTACGCGAATGTTCTGAAGGTCGCGAAGCGTCACGAACAGAACCTTCTCAACCTTGGTAGAATGCAATTCGGTGGCAACCGAAAGGCTTGAGTCCGGTACACGTAACCTGGTTCGGTGCCATAACTATAATAAAAAATAGGAATGCACCTAGGAAATCAAACACATCTATGCATGATAAATAAGTCGTCGTACTCTCATACGTAGTTCAGGGGTGTGTCAAACTTCTTTATGTGTATGTTAATTTCTAAAGGCTAGACAGGGTTAGATTGTAAAGAGTATGACATTTGTACTCGTGTTCACTGTTCTCGACTCCCTGATGCAAGTTTTCTCTCCACACCCCTCCCTTCACTGTAAGGTCCTCCCTCCCTTGGCATAAGGTTCGTGTGCTATGTTAGCATCATTTCTCATACTTACTCTCCAACCTTCCACGTGTCCCTAGTGAGGCGCGCTACCGTCCTTGCATTTGCTGCATCAAGTACACCCGGTGACATTGCTGGGTTGACTGCTCTCCAGTATCTCAATTCTTCGGAAAACAGCACAAAATCTGCTACAGTGTTCATCCCCATAGTCACCTGCCAATAAAAGCATTCGTACTTTGGGGTTGGGAACAATGAAGCCACCCGACCTCTGCAGCACTGCGCGATAGCCTTTGTTGCAGGGGGGTGATTGAGCATTAATGATCACCGCCTGGTCAATTCTCTTGTTCCATCCAGCCATGCATGCATGTGCTTGTGCCCGTTTTTGCATGTGCTGCGCTTGTGCAAGTGCATGTGCATGTGCATGGATGAATTCACCAAGTATAGCATTCATGCATCCATACGCATCCATCAGTGCACCGTCATTCAGCTGCCCTCTTAAACCCTTGTCCAAGGCTCATTCTATAGTGCTCCGGCTGCTTGCTGGCATGCTCTTCCGCAAGGAATTTCACCCTTCCCGATTTTTTTGTGTTGTCCTTTCATTGCTCGGTGTGCCCTATGGCCTAGGCTCTATCTGCACGCCACAGTGGTCTTCTATTGCCCGTTTTGTCGAATTTTGGGCGGAGGGTGACGGTGCACTCAAGTCCAACATTGCACTTGGGTGGTAGCAAACAAACAAAAGTGACGGGGGGTGTTTACAAGTGGGCGGAAAGAACCAAACAAAAGCACAGACACATGGCGCAATACAATTGGTCCGACCAATGTAATTGCAAGTTGAATGCTTGGACCGGATTGTAAAAGGGAAAAGAACGTAACTCCTTTTCCAAAATTCCACTGTCAATTTTGCAATGGGGTGGGTTACGAAATCGCACACGGCTCGGTTACAACTACGGTTCGACTATACAGAGTTTCTCGATTTCTATCTTATGGAGTATAAAAACTCACTCATCATTCAAAATTGTATCCTCTCTGGAATGTTGTACCCAGCCCTATATTATCAACAACTACGTTCTCATTTCTTGTGTTCTTTGGTGCTACGGATTTGTCACTCAGAGACCTATCCAGAAATAGCTCAGACAATTATTTTCATCAAAAACTGAGTTCACGATGGCGTTTCAAAGCATACAAATTTCCTGCATGGTTTCACAGCTATAGGGCTTCCCAAACGCTTGACGCGTAGCTCTTCTCGTCACCATGTCTTTGATTTCCTCATCAACCTCTGATGTCCCCTTTTGTCCTTACCCAAATGAGTCCTACTCCGCATCTACGACGATCGTCGACATGAGTTGTTCAATGGCGAGCACTATGCATCATGGCACTTCAAGTTGAAGGTGCACATGATGGAGCGTGAGCTTTGGGGCTTCTTCGACGGATCCGGAGTGAAGCCTTCAAGCGCCTTGACAACGGAGCATGGAGCATGGGTGAAGAAGGACAAGAAGGCGTTCTCGATTCTCGTGTCGAAGCTCAGACTTCAACTCGTGCCGGTGATGAGCTCGTGCATCGACCTTGAAGGAGCTACACGTGAAGCTTGGAGGCGCCTCGAGAACATCCACGGGACAAAGTCTCTCTACGGCAAGTTGCAAGCAAGGAGGAACTTCTTCACCATGCGCATCAAGGAGGGCGAACGCATGCGCACGTACGTCAACCGCATTAAGGAGCTTGGCGAACGAATGGTGGAGCTTGAAGCGGACATGGACGGAAAGGATTGGATCATGACGCTTCTCGGAGGGCTCCGAGAGGAATGGTCAACCGTCATCACCACCCTTGACGGCACGCAAGCGACATGGACCAAGGAGGGGGTGACGACGCGCCTCATCAACGAGGAGATGCGGTGGATCGACTTGAAAGGCGATTCAACGAGTTCGGCTCACTTCACGCGCGGGGTGAAGAAAGGCGTTGTCTACACCAAGGCACGGAATGACTGTGGGCATGTTAGTGGAAGCGCGGGCTCTTCACGTGGAGGACACGCCAACAACAACAACAACTGTGGTCATGCTCATGAAGGAGCATGCCGGTATTGCAAGAAGGTCGGGCATTGGTGGCGCGAGTGTCGGAGCAAGCCAAGGGTTTGGACTCCAACGTCGCCAACTCAAGAGGAACGGAGCGCGAACGTGGTGACATCGGGAGAAGACACCAAGGAGCTCGTGTTCATCACGGGAGAAGGAGCTCTTGGCGGGCTCGCTTGGCTTCTCAACATGGGTGCTACACAACACATGACGCTACATGCGGAGCTTCTTGAGGATGTCATGGCGAATGCTCCTACCAAGCGCGTGGTCTTCGGTAATCAAGACTCACTTGAATTGAATGGACGCGGAACATTGCGCCTCGCGGTGGACGACGGTCCAATGACGATCAACAACGTGTTGGTTGTACCAGGACTCGGTGGTAACTTGCTCTCCATGTCACAACTCACCACCAAGGGAATGCGTGTCAACATCAAAGGCGCGGTCATGACATTGTGCACGTCTTCCGGGCGCTTCATCGGCAAAGCGCATCAAGACGGGGGTCTCTTCAAGCTTGCAGCTACACCGAATCTTGTGTCGGTGCACGCGGCGGTGGCGAAGCCTTCATTGGAGACGTGGCACAACCGCTACGGGCACTTGAGCACGTCAACCATCCGCATCAAGGCAACTCAAGGCGTGGTACATGGGATCGTCACCGACTTGTCAACGAACAAGCAGGTGGAGAAGCACTCGGCGTGTCTTGAAGGGAAGTTGGCGAGGAAGCCGTTCCAACTCGCACAACGCCTCTCGCCTCCAACCCGCTCGATCTTGTCCACTCCGACTTGTGTGGACCAATCACCCCTACCTCCAAAGGGGGAGCACGATACATTTTCACCCTCTTCGAGGACGCTACACGAAAGGTGTGGGTCTACCTTCTCAACAACAAGAGCACGACTTCTACGACAATCAAGAAATGGGTGGCGCTTGTTGAGACGGAGAAAGATGGACAACTCGTGAAGCGGATTCGGTCAGATGGAGGAGAGTACGTGAACAACGAGCTCGACGGATGGTTCAAGGCGCGGGGAACCTTCCACGAGGTGTTGGTTCCTCACTCACCTCAACAAAATGGAGCGGCGGAGCGCTTGAACCGCACTTTGGTTGAAGCGGTTAGGAGCATGCTTGCCCATGCTCATGCGGACAAGTCTTGTTGGGGTGAAGCGACGATGTTGACAACTTGGATTCACAACCGAAGCTTGACCAAGACCTTGCCGAACGTAACACCCTCGAGGCTTGGAGTGGCGACAAACCGGACGTCTTCAACCTTCGCACCTTCGGGTCCATTTGCTACTACCATGTCCCCGACGCTACACGCACCAAGCTTAAGGCGAAGGCGCGTGTGGGGATGCATTTGGGTCATAGCCTTGTTCACAAGGGATGGCAAGTATGGGACTTGGAGTGTGGAAAGTTGGTGGTGTCGCGCGACGCCTCATTCTTCGAATGCCGCTTCCCAACTCCATCAAGCAACAAGCATTCGATCGTGGTCATCCCTCCAACGGTTGATGACACAAACGAGGCATCTTCTAGTGACATTCTCGAGGAGAGGGGTGTTCGAGACGAGGAGGGAGATATTGTTGAGATGGTTGGGATGGAGAGTGAGAAGGATGGTGGTCCTTCTACCGTTGTCGCTCCAACGCTTGCATGTACTCGCGCTCAAAGAGCTCCTCATCCGAACTCGAAGTACGCCAACAACTTGCTTGTGGTGGAGGATGATAAGGAAGGGGGAGATGCCATGTGCTTCATGGCCAACTTCACACCTATACTCCAAGACGGTAATTGGACTCAAGCGCTCAATGAGGAGTATGAGTCAATCATTGAAAATGATGTGTATGATCTTTTCCCCTTGGGCCCAAATAGCTACACCGTTGGGTCCCGATGGGTCTTCAAGAAGAAGCTCGGACCAAACGGTGAGGTGGAGCGATACAAGGCTTGCTTGGTGGCATAAGGGTACACGCAAAAGGCCGGGCTTCACTACAACAAGCCCTTTGCACCGGTAGCAAAGTATTCTACCCTTAGTGTTCTCTTAGCTCTAGTGGGAGGACTTGACCTAGAGGTAGAACAACTTGATGTAAAAACCACATTTTTTTATGCCCACCTGGAGGAGGAGGTGTATATGTGGCAACCGCCAGGGTTCGAGGATGGTACGGACCATGTGTGCAAGTTGAAGCGCACTATCTACGGCTTGAAGCAAAGCCTTAGAGCGTGGTACATGAGGATAGACAAGCACTTGCTTGAGTTGGGCTTTACTTGAAGTGAGTGTGATCACGCCCTCTACATCCTCAACCGTGGGGAAAAGAAGCCCGCCCTACTTCTCTATGTGGACGATCTTCTCCTCGTTTCCGATTGCAAGGACCTTGTGGCGGAGATCAAGGCGAAGCTTGCATTGGAGTTCTCCATGCGCGACCTTGGTGCCTGTCATACTACCTCTGCATGCACATCGACCGCGATCGTGCGCACAAGACTCTTCATCTTCACCAACACAAGTACTTGGAGGACGTGGTGGCTCGCTTTGGGATGAGCGAGAGCAAGCCGGCACCCACACTCATGGAGGTGGGGTTCCACCCTTTGGCTACAAGCGAAAAAGTCCCTATGGATCCCAAGAAGACCAAGCACTTTCATTCCATAGTAGGCTCATGTATGTATGCCGGCTTGAGCACTTGTCCCGATCTCTCTTTCACGGTTGGGCTACTTGGGCGAGTAGTCTCCAAACCCATGGTAGAGCACGAGCGTGCCTTGTGTCGTCTTCTTCGCTATGTTATGGGCACTAGTAACCTAGGGCTCCACAATGAAGCCGGGCCGATAGCAATCATAGGGGTCACTGATTCCGATTGGGCGGGAGATCCTTCCACTCGGCAAAGCACCTCGGCCTTGTCTTCACGCTCCTTGGTGGAGCGGTGGCTTGGCAAAGCAAGAGGCAAAACTTGATTGCCCTTAGCTCAATCGAGGCCGAGTATGTTGCTCTCAACCGTGGTGGTACCGAAGCCGTGTGGTTGAGGCATCTCCTAGCTGAGCTAGGATACGAGCAAGAGGAACTCACACCGATCTATGTGGACAACCAACCTTGCTAAGAACTCGGTCCTTCATGGAAGGACTAAGCACATCCAAATTCGTCATCACTTCATCCGCAAGCTCGTTGAAGACAAGGAGGTGGAGCTACGCTACGTGAAGACCAACGCTCAATCCGCAGACTTCCTCACTAAGCCTTTGCCTAGGGATACCTTTCATGCACGTTGTGCTAGGGTAGGCTTGTATGCATAGGTGCTCGTGGTGACCAAGGGGGAGTGTTGGAGGTCGGTTGGGGACATGTGGTCCCCACGACACTTCCTTTCTACCTAGACAAGTTCGGTTCGGTGGCGAAAATTTGGGCGGAGGGTGACGGTGCAATTTAGTCAAACATTGCACTTGGGTGGTAACAAACAAACAAAAGTGATGGGGGGTGTTTACAAGTGGGCGGAAAGGACCAGACAAAAACACAAACACATGGCGCAATACAATTGGTCCGACCAATGTAATTGTAAGTTGAATGCTTGGACGGAAATGTAAAATGGAAAAGGACGCAACTCCTTTTCCAAAATTCCATCGTCAATTTTGCAATGGGGTGGGTTACGAAATTGCACGCAGCTCGGTTACAACTGCGGTTCGACTATATGGGGTTTCTTGATTTCTATCTTATGGAGTATAAAAACTCACGTGTCATTCGGAATTGTATCCTCTCTGGAATGTTGTACCCAGCCCTATATTATGAACAACTACGTTTTCATTTCTCGGGCAAAGTATGTTTTCTTTGGTGATAAGGATTCGTCATTCAGAGACCTATCCAAAAACAACTCAGACAATTATTTTCGTCAAGAACTGAGTTCACGACCGCGTTTCAAAGCATACGGATGTCGTGCACATCGTGGGTAGGACGGGCCCCCGCGGGCCTCGTTTTCATCGCGTTCAGAGGCCCCCGCGGGCGTCGTTTTCGTCGTATTCAAAGGCCCCCATGGGCCTCGTTTTTCGTCGTGTTCAAAGGGCACCGCTGGCTCCTCGCTTCGTCGCGCTCCAGAAGGGACTACCCCCCCTCCCCCCTCGAGGTCACGCGTAGTCATGCTTAGCCGCGCGTGCAAGCAGCAGGCATACATGCACCAGCAGCAGCACCGCGCGCATTAGCCAGCGGCAGTCGCGCACGCCACCGCTGCACAGGCATTGCAGCAGCAGCGCTCACATTGCAGCAGCAGTGCTCACATTGCAGCAGCAGCGCTCACATTACAGCAGCAGCGCTCACATTGCAGCAGCAGCACTCACATTGCAGCAGCAGCGCTCACATTGCTGCAGCAGCAGCAGCACGGCTAGGCAGTAGAGCGTGCTACTGCAGTAGCACGACTAGGCAGCAGCTAGCTGGCAGCAGCTAGCCGCCAGCTAGCCCCTCCCACCAGCCCACAGCCCCTTTCAACCACTCATAGCCCCTTCCAACCGCTCACAGCCCTTTCCAACCGCTCACAGCCCCTTCCAACCGCTCACAGCCCCTTCCAACGGCTCACGCCCCTTTCAGTCGCTCACATCCCCTTCCCACCGCTCACAGACCCTCATCACGGACGCACACCACCCAAGACCACCCGACCTCCGATGGTTCGACACTCGCGCGCGTCGCTCATACTCACAGTGTTTTGCACCGTCGCGGCTGGAGGCCGCTCCACTTAGCTGTTTAGGCTAGTCATAACGTTCGTTGTTAGCTAGGTCTCTCCTCGCTCCGCCAGCCCCCCGAACGACTCTCTGGCTCCTCAATCGGCTCGTCTGCCCTGCCTCCTCCAGCCACCTGCTCCTAGCTCAGCTATCTCTCAGCTCTGTTAGTTACTAGACTAGCGCTCCTAGCTCAGTTTTCCTCCGTAATCCGGCAGTACCTCGCCTAGTCCCACCTGGCGCTCCTCGCTCCTAGCCCACCCTGCCGCACGTACTTTCCACTGCCAGTGGCTCTACTAGTGGCAGCAGACAACCGCACTTACGCTCTCTATCTCCGGCCATTCCTACCTCCAGCTGGCCCTAGCTCACCATTTCTAGCTCCAGCCAGTTGTACTCCAGCCGTTCTAGCTCCAGCCGATCTCGCTCAAGCCGTTTCAGCTCCAGCCGTTCTCGCTCTAGCCATTTCAGCTCCAGCCGCTCTAGCTCCAGCCGTTCCTTGCCTAGTTTCACCTGGCCCTCCTAGCCCAGTTTGTTCCGTGCTCCGGCCGTTCCTTGCCTAGTTTCACCTAGCGCTTCTAGCCCAGTTTGCTCCGTACTCCAGCCGTTCCTAGCCTAGTTCCACCTGGCGCTCCTAGCTCAGTTTGCTCCGTGCTCCAACCATCCCTCGCCTAGTTTCACCTAGCGCTCCTAGCTCAGTTTGCTCCGTGCTCCAGCAGTTACTCGCCTAGTTTCTCCTGGCGCTCCTATTTGTTCTCGTTTTTCACTGCAGCCGTCCCTAGCTCTTGGCGCTCCTAGCCTGCCACTCCTGTACCCTGCTAGCCTTTATGATGGAGTCCAGTAGGGTTCTCCAGCAGCAGGGACAGCAACAACGGCCATTTCAGCAGTGGCGCCCACAGCAGCAGTGGCACCCGCAGGAGCAGTGGCGCCCTCAGCAGCAGCTCCGCCCTCACCAACTGTGGCGCCCTCAGCAGCAGTGGGGGCCTGGTGGTTCGGGTAGCGTTGGCTGCAACAGCGGCCCAACCAGCTGGGGGGCTCGTCGCGGTGGCAGCGACGCCGGCCCCTGCAAGTCCCAGATCCTGAGTGGCCCTGGTGTTGGCACTACCTGCTAGCGTCCTGACCACTCTGCGCAGCGCTGCTACAACCACCTCAACGACCTCTACCGTGAGCGTTTTGGGCCTGAGTCGACTCCCTCGATCTTGTCCAGTCTGTTTCGTAGCGGTTAGCCTGTGTTTCCTATGTCTATGGATGTTGTTTATTCTATCACGTATGGAT